ATTTTTACATCCCTAAATTCTCAAATTTCCAAATTTTCAAATTTCCAATTTTCACATCCCTAAATTCTCAAATTTCCAAATTCTTAAATTCCCAATTTTTACATCCCTAAATTCTCAAATTTCCAAATTCTTAAATTCCCAATTTTTACATCCCTAAATTCTCAAATTTCCAAATTCTTAAATTCCCAATTTTTACATCCCTAAATTCTCAAATTTCCAAATTCTTAAATTCCCAATTTTTACATCCCTAAATTCTCAAATTTCCAAATTCTTAAATTCCCAATTTTTACATCCCTAAATTCTCAAATTTCCAATTTTCACGTCCCTGAATTCCCAAATTTCCAAATTCTTAAATTCCTAGTTTTTGCATCCCTAAATTCTCAAATTTCCAAATTCTTAAATTCCCAGTTTTTACATCCCTAAATTCCCAAATTTCCAAATTTTTAAATTTCCAATTTTCACATCCCTAAATTTCTAAATTTCCTCATTTTCAAATTTCCAATTTTCACACCCCCTAATTCCTAAATTTTCAAATCCCCAATTCCTAAATTTTCAAATTTACAAATTCTTAAATTTCAAATTTTTAAGTTTCTAAATCCTCAAGTTCCTATATCTCCACATCCTACAAAAATGAAATTGGAATGTCAGTGACCTATCAAGAGAAAGTAAAGCCCTCGATCCTCGACCGTACCAAATTTGTCAAGGAAAATTACTAACCGATTGCTGTTGTCATACTGTTCCTTGTTATCAACATCATATCGTATGACCCCGGCGGCCGGTATCTTTGTGTACGTATCCTGTCGTTTGAACTGTCTCCTCTGATCAATCGAGTTGTTCAACGGTATATGCGAGGGCCTGGGTATCCTCGAGACAAGATTCTGCGCGTTCTGATGATTCATATTGTTCTCCGCGTTGTTGACGATCTGCTTGGCTAGATTCTTGATGGTCTCTTTACAGTTATCGCAATAGTTGGCCGCGCAGGAGATGGAGATGTGCGGTTTCACCGACTCGCCAACCGAGACGTCGGTGAATTTCTTTTTAACCGGCGAGGTGCCGAACTCCCGTTTCTTGGGCGTCAGACCGGAAGTGTCTGTGCTCTTCACGGTGGTCCTCACCAGATCATCAACCATGATTCCGACGGATCTGGTGGTTTTTCTCTTTGCGTTGCTGTCGCCGTAGTTGAACGAGTGGCTTCTCGAGTTCAACGAGTGCAGCGACAGAGATTGGGTGGCTAACGGGTCCGGGCCTACCGCGATGGTTCTTGTCCCTGGACCAGTTCTGACCTCGATTCCAATTTCGGCCACCCTGGGTTTCACCGTCACTCCCACGTTCGTCCTCATTCTGAACGGTTCTGCGACCTGCGTGAATTGATCTTTCTTCTCGATCGTCTTCACCAGGTCAAGGGTACACTGGCTTCCCCTGGAAGCGGTGTCCTTGAGCAGGCTGCTCTTGTAGATCCTCAGAGCATCGTCCACGATCACCGCCACGTCCTCCTCCGTCAGGATGTCCTTCATGGCCAAACTGGTCCCCGTTCCGAACGATCTCTTCCTGACCTCCTTCTTCAACTCCGGCGATATGTCCTCTATCACGAACCGACTGTGCACCAGGTCCTTCAGCTTGTTTCTCGTGTTCACGCCGATGTCTCGGTATTTCTTCGCGTCCCTGACCAATCTCGAACTGATCGGAGGGATAGACTCCACCTGAAGTGGGCTTCTTGACAAACGATTTCTCGTTTTCGGTTCGGGCGCGATTTCCTCGTACATCAGTTGGCTGCGGGTTAAGGTGGACCTCCAACTGTCGCGACTGTACAGCTTGTCCAAGCTCCTGTCGTCGAACAATGTGCTCTGGTCTTTTATTTCAGGTACGATTTCTTCGATCTGCAATCGACTCCGCTGCAGGGATTGTTTGATCGGCGTGCTGGTTATCATGCCGATATCTCGTGTTCGAACCTGATAGCAAGGTAATGTTAGATTTTATTCAGCCGCGTCTATCAGTCTATTGTTGTCTGTTGCTACGAAAGAACTTCCTTTTTTAGAAAGCTTTCGCGGAAGGTAATTACTTGTGATTAGTAGCTACTTTCTTAACGAAGTCTCCTTTCGAAGACTTTTTCATTTACATAAGAATTATTGGGCCGATGAGAGAGGTGATATCGAACGTAAAACTGAACGTGGAATAATATATCAGCTCGTAATTTATTTTTGAAAACAAAGCCCATGTTTCTGAAGTAATTCCGTTGCTTTCAAATTAATTAAAAATATTCTTCGTAATTAAAAATGTACCTCTGATGTTTTTCCTCTACCACGTGTTCCAAATAATTACTTTCAGCCAATTAAATTCTAAAGCAGATGCATAAAGCGAGCATACGTTATATCAACGTTAGTACAAATAAAGTATGACCAAATTAAATTCATAAATATTCAATAATTACACAATTATTTGATTAACTCATTCTGCACCGCAATTAATTGCGAATTAATTATGGAAGCATTTATCGTACGTTTATTTCAGTACGTTGTCCTCGTCTCTTAAATTAATTTGCTACATCTTTATCGAAAGAGTTCGGTCTTGCAAAAATTTACTTTCAACGCGAAACTTCATCTCGTTAACAGCTTCATAATGAAGTGATTCGAATGAAATATTCACAAAGTTATGCTATCATGCAAACGATCCATCGTAGATCGGGCCTGATAGAAAGGTGGAATGCAATTCGCGGGTAACAGTAGAAAATACATAAAATGAATACGTAAGACGATCCTTAAAATTAGCTCGCGTTTCTCGTCGGGCTTCGGGGAACCCAGCAGACTTTCTCACCAGCCCAATAAAGTAATTTGTCGACGTTTCGCGAGTCCGGTAATTAAAAGTTGTCGGTACACTCCGGTGCAATGTAGGCATCCTTTTTAGAAGCAAAAATATGCAAATTTGAGGATCGCTTAATTCGCAATTATTCACATACTTTTCAATTTTCCAGTTCGTAAATTGCTGAATTTCTTCATTTAGATAATTAGCAAATTTACAGGTTTTGAAATTTAGAATTTATAAATGTACGTCTCCAAACTTTTTTTAGATTGTTAAAATTTTGTAATTAGCGAATCTTCTTAGTTATCAAATTTTAGAATTACTTAGTTTTTTAGGGATCAGATTACAGAATTTCCTAGTTTTCTAGGGATCATATTTTAGAATTTTCTAGTTTTCTAGTTAGAAAATTTCAAAATTCCCTAATTTCCTAATTACCAAATTTCAGAATTTCCTAGATTCGCAGTGACCAACTTTCAGAATTTCCTAGATCCCTAGTTACCAAATTTCGGAATTTCCTAGATCCCTAGTGACCAACTTTCAGAATTCCCTAGATCCCTAGTTACCAAATTTCAGAATTCCCCAGATCATTAGTTACCAAATGCTAGAATTCCCTAGATCCCTAGTTACCAAATTTCGGAATTCCCTAGATCCCTAGTGACCAACTTTCAGAATTCCCTAGATCCCTAGTTACCAAATTTCGGAATTTCCTAGATCCCTAGTGACCAACTTTCAGAATTCCCTAGATCCCTAGTTACCAAATTTCGGAATTTCCTAGATCCCTAGTGACCAACTTTCAGAATTCCCTAGATCCCTAGTTACCAAATTTCGGAATTTCCTAGATCCCTAGTGACCAACTTTCAGAATTCCCTAGATCCCTAGTTACCAAATTTCGGAATTTCCTAGATCCCTAGTGACCAACTTTCAGAATTCCCTAGATCCCTAGTTACCAAATTTCGGAATTCCCTAGATCCCTAGTTACCAAATTTCGGAATTCCCTAGATCCCTAGTTACCAAATTTCGGAATTCCCTACATCCCTAGTTACCAAATTTCGGAATTCCCTACATCCCTAGTTACTAAATTTCAGAATTTTCTAAATCCCTAGTTTCCAAGTTTCAAAATTCCCTAGATCCCTAGTTACCAAATTTCGGAATTCCCTACATCCCTAGTTACCAAATTTCGGAATTCCCTACATCCCTAGTTACCAAATTTCGGAATTCCCTACATCCCTAGTTACCAAATTTCGGAATTCCCTACATCCCTAGTTACCAAATTTCGGAATTCCCTACATCCCTAGTTACCAAATTTCGGAATTCCCTACATCCCTAGTTACCAAATTTCGGAATTCCCTACATCCCTAGTTACCAAATTTCGGAATTCCCTACATCCCTAGTTACCAAATTTCGGAATTCCCTACATCCCTAGTTACCAAATTTCGGAATTCCCTACATCCCTAGTTACCAAATTTCGGAATTCCCTACATCCCTAGTTACCAAATTTCGGAATTCCCTACATCCCTAGTTACTAAATTTCAGAATTTTCTAAATCCCTAGTTACCAAGTTTCAAAATTCCCTAGATTCCTATTTACTAAATTTCAGAATTCCTTTGTTCCCTAGTTACCAAATGATAGAATCCCTAGTTCCCCAGTTATCAAACTTCAGAATTCCCTAAATCCCTAGTTGCCAAATGCAAGAATTCCCTAATTCTCTAGTTAGAAAATTTCAGAATTCCTAAGATCCCTAGTTACCAAATGCTAGAATTCCCTAGTACCTTAGTTATCAAGTTTCAGAATTCTCTAGTTTCTTAATTACCAAATTTCTGAATTCCTTAATCTCTCAATTAGCAAATTTCTGAAGTCTCTAGTTTTAAGACTTGTAACTTATCTAGTGTCCTACTTACAAGACTTCCAAATTGTTTAGTTTTCTAGTTTTCTCCAAAATCTTCTAAATCAACGATCTTCTGAATCATTCTCTAGTTACTGCATTATGTGACATTCATATTACCAAATCATCTAGTTCCTTAGTTATCAAATTTTGAATTTCCCTAGTTACCAAATTACCAGAACTTACAAACGCATCACCCAAAAGATCAACAAGTACAAAAGTTCCCATTCCCCGTTAAATTGTCACTAGGAAAGCCAACATTGCCCCGGACTGTACGTATGCAAATGTTGTCGCGGTTCGGTTGGAACGGTACCATTCTCCGGACGGGTTTCACCGAGTAAGGAACACGAAGCAGATCGAAGCAACCGATAAATCGTCGTGAACGGAAGCTACAAACTGTACCTGCTGGTGCGAAACACCGACGTCCCGCGTCATTACGCCACACATCGTGCTGGCGTCCCTCGTCGGCGTACCAGCGTTCTTCAGATTTCGCAGGGATGCTCGTTGTTCCGAGAACGACTGGCTACGGTGCCTGTGCAACGTTTCGTTGCACGAATTCAACTCGTCCACTTGTCGCAGCAGATTCCGCTTCTCCTCTTTCAGCACCGACACTTGCACCTGTTATCGGATATATGGCCAACGTGATAATTTAGGATGGAGAGTTTCTTATTGTGTAATGAGATGCTTTATTTGGTCGGTAGGTGTGGACTGGGTGTAGATTCATTTTGTGATTAATTTGAGAGTTGAGGTATTTGTGGGGTTTGAGTAGGTGTTAGGGTATGTATTTTGGGGTTTGTAAATAAGAGCTTGTATGGTAAGAGCTTGATGAGGAGGGGGTTGAAATTATAGAAATTTGGGAGGAGGATGTTTGGGTAGTTGGGATGTGGAAATTTTGGTACTTTGAAATTTGGTAATTTGAGGGTCAGAAATTTGGGAATTTGAGAGTTTAGGAAAAGTGAGAAATTTGGAAATTTGAGAAGTTGGAAATTTGAGAGTTTGGAAATTTGAGAATTTGGAAATTTGAGAATTTGGAAATTTGAGAATTTGGAAATTTGAGAATTTGGAAATTTGAGAATTTGGAAATTTGAGAATTTGGAAATTTGAGAATTTGGAAATTTGAGAATTTGGAAATTTGAGAATTTGGAAATTTGAGAATTTGGAAATTTGAGAATTTGGAAATTTGAGAATTTGGAAATTTGAGAATTTGGAAATTTGAGAATTTGGAAATTTGAGAATTTGGAAATTTGAGAATTTGGAAATTTGAGAATTTGGAAATTTGAGAATTTGGAAATTTGAGAATTTGGAAATTTGAGAATTTGGAAATTTGAGAATTTGGAAATTTGAGAATTTGGAAATTTGAGAATTTGGAAATTTGAGAATTTGGAAATTTGAGAATTTGGAAATTTGAGAATTTGGAAATTTGAGAATTTGGAAATTTGAGAATTTGGAAATTTGAGAATTTGGAAATTTGAGAATTTGGAAATTTGAGAATTTGGAAATTTGAGAATTTGGAAATTTGAGAATTTGGAAATTTGAGAATTTGGAAATTTGAGAATTTGGAAATTTGAGAATTTGGAAATTTGAGAATTTGGAAATTTGAGAATTTGGAAATTTGAGAATTTGGAAATTTGAGAATTTGGAAATTTGAGAATTTGGAAATTTGAGAATTTGGAAATTTGAGAATTTGGAAATTTGAGAATTTGGAAATTTGAGAATTTGGAAATTTGAGAATTTGGAAATTTGAGAATTTGGAAATTTGAGAATTTGGAAATTTGAGAATTTGGAAATTTGAGAATTTGGAAATTTGAGAATTTGGAAATTTGAGAATTTGGAAATTTGAGAATTTGGAAATTTGAGAATTTGGAAATTTGAGAATTTGGAAATTTGAGAATTTGGAAATTTGAGAATTTGGAAATTTGAGAATTTGGAAATTTGAGAATTTGGAAATTTGAGAATTTGGAAATTTGAGAATTTGGAAATTTGAGAATTTGGAAATTTGAGAATTTGGAAATTTGAGAATTTGGAAATTTGAGAATTTGGAAATTTGAGAATTTGGAAATTTGAGAATTTGGAAATTTGAGAATTTGGAAATTTGAGAATTTGGAAATTTGAGAATTTGGAAATTTGAGAATTTGGAAATTTGAGAATTTGGAAATTTGAGAATTTGGAAATTTGAGAATTTGGAAATTTGAGAATTTGGAAATTTGAGAATTTGGAAATTTGAGAATTTGGAAATTTGAGAATTTGGAAATTTGAGAATTTGGAAATTTGAGAATTTGGAAATTTGAGAATTTGGAAATTTGAGAATTTGGAAATTTGAGAATTTGGAAATTTGAGAATTTGGAAATTTGAGAATTTGGAAATTTGAGAATTTGGAAATTTGAGAATTTGGAAATTTGAGAATTTGGAAATTTGAGAATTTGGAAATTTGAGAATTTGGAAATTTGAGAATTTGGAAACTTGAGAGTTTGGGAATTTGAGAGTTTGTAAATTTGAGAATTTGGAAATTTGTGAGTTTGTAAATTTGAGAAGTTGGAAATTTGTGTGTTTGTAAATTTGACAATTTGAAAATTTGAAAAATTGAAAATTTGACAATTTGAAAATTTGAAAATGTTTAAATATTTCCAATTACTCAAATGTGTAATAAAATCCTAAAATAGACCAAATTTAAAAATATTCAACAATATGCTTTAACGACAATAACATTATCAAAGAAATAAGTATGCATCTAGTAATGACTAGAATAAGCAGTAGTTACGTTATGCTTGAAAATAACAACCTGTTTCTTTTTGGGAAGTATTACGAGGTAAAGGGAGCACTTAACGTATGATTCATACGTTGATGGATACATGCCAAGAACAATCTGTTACATCAAATGCAAGCTTCTTGAATGTTTAATGTACAAACAGTGTATGTAGAAGGTTTGTTTCTGTCGAGTCTACAGTTCAGAGTCTAACTTCATTTTCCGGCTTGTTACAATCGCAAATTAAAAGCTTGATTAACACGGTCGGTTCTAGAGTTTGAAGTTTGATTCTATTTGGAAAGTGGGTTAACCTGTTATACTGCGATGTTTGATTTTGAAATAATTAGAACTTTATATGGTTCATATATTTTGTCCATGTTGTAGGATATATTTGTACTGCAATATGGTATTGTTAATAAAATTTGATTTTAATTTTTTGAATTTGTGAGATCTCAAATTTTAATATTATTAAATTGTTTCTCTCATGAATTTTACAATTTCCAAATTTCTAAATTTTCAAATCTCTAAATTTTGAAATTTCTAAATTCCAGAATTCCAAATTTCCAAAATTCCAAATTTCCAAATTTCCAAATTTCTAAAATTCCAAGTTTGCAGAATTGCAAATGTGGAAAATTCTAAATTTCCAAATTTCCAAATTTCCAAATTTCCAAAATTCCAAAATTCCAAATTTCCAAATTTCCAAATTTCCAAATTTCCAAATTTCCAAATTTCCAAATTTCCAAATTTCCAAATTTCCAAATTTCCAAATTTCCAAATTTCCAAATTTCCAAATTTCCAAATTTCCAAATTTCCAAATTTCCAAATTTCCAAATTTCCAAATTTCCAAATTTCCAAATTTCCAAATTTCCAAATTTCCAAATTTCCAAATTTCCAAATTTCCAAATTTCCAAATTTCCAAATTTCCAAATTTCCAAATTTCCAAATTTCCAAATTTCCAAATTTCCAAATTTCCAAATTTCCAAATTTCCAAATTTCCAAATTTCCAAATTTCCAAATTTCCAAATTTCCAAATTTCCAAATTTCCAAATTTCCAAATTTCCAAATTTCCAAATTTCCAAATTTCCAAATTTCCAAATTTCCAAATTTCCAAATTTCCAAATTTCCAAATTTCCAAATTTCCAAATTTCCAAATTTCCAAATTTCCAAATTTCCAAATTTCCAAATTTCCAAATTTCCAAATTTCCAAATTTCCAAATTTCCAAATTTCCAAATTTCCAAATTTCCAAATTTCCAAATTTCCAAATTTCCAAATTTCCAAATTTCCAAATTTCCAAATTTCCAAAATTCCAAATTTCCAAATTTCCAAATCTCAAATTCTCAAATTCCCACATCCTCACATCCAAATATCAAATTCCCAAATAGTGAAATTTACAAATCCCAAAATCCACTACTCCACAAGTTCACCATCACATCACCCAAACAAAGTCATCAATATTTCAATATTATCAACAAACACCTCCAAATTTATCAACTCTCTGAATATGCAACAGTATACAATATTTATTTATTCGTTCATTATCAGCCAACTGAAATCTCCGTCCACATGCAAAGTTTCCCACCAATTTTTTCCAAATACATCCGATCTATATTTCACCACTAAAAACTTCTTTGAACAACTTCCACCTTATTTACAATTAAAAAAAAAGAATCTCTCGAGGCAATCAAAGGGTTAACATAACGGCAGCAGCGTAATTACGTTAACTCGTAACGTAATTATATCCGTCACTCGGAAGTGCATATCGCAATAGAAAGAAAGCACCTCGCAAGCATGATTCATAATTCACCGCATAGGAAAAACGTATCAGATTGAAAATTGTCGAGTGTTTGTATACCTGTAACATGGGGATCGCCTTGACCTGTTCCTCCAGCTCCTTCATCCGTTCCAACGACGCTGCCATTTGTTCTCTGATGTTCTAGAATGTGTGATGTTTTGCTAGAATACTTGTTCGTTGCTTTTGTTCACTAATTTAGTGCGATAATACTTGTTGCTCCTACCTGTAGCGCGCCCGTGCTGAGATTCGAGTTTCCGCTGCCAACACTCGCGTTATCGAAATCCGCGACATGTTCTGATTGCGCGTTGTTTTGCGCCGGTGTTGCTGTGTTCGTTCCATCTGAAACAGTTTTAGTTTTACGTGAATAACTTTGTTGATTTTTTATTTTATTTTTTGGGAGATTTTGTTTTTGTTGTTTGGAAGATATTGGGAAGTGATGGGTGTCGTGCATTGTCAATTTACTAATTCTACTTTATAAATTTGCAAATTTCAACTTTACAAATTTAGAAATTTATAAATCTACAAACTTCAATTTTTCAATTTTTCAATTTTTCAATTTTTCAATTTTTCAATTTTTCAATTTTTCAATTCTTTGATTTTCAATACTTCAATTTTTCATTTCTTCAATTTTCTAATTTTCCAATTCTTCGATTTTCAATTCTTCACGTTTTCAATTCTTCAATTTTCCAATTTTTCAACTCTTTAATTTTTCAATTCTTCAATTTTTCAATTCTTTAATTTTTAAATTCTTCAATTTTTAAATTCTTCAATTTTTAAATTCTTTAATTTTTAAATTCTTCAATTTTTCAATTCTTCGATTTTTAATTTTCAATTTTTCAATTCTTCGATTTTCTATTTTTCAATTTTTCAATTTTTCAATTTTTCAATTTTTCAATTTTTCAATTTTTCAATTTTTCAATTTTTCAATTCTTCAATTTTTCATTTTTTTATTCTTTAATTTTTCAATTTCTCAATTTGTCAATTCTTCTATTTCTCTATTTTACAAAACAAATTTTTAATTTTCAGCTTTTTACATTTACGACAATCTTCGAATCCAGATATTCCTCGATCCCCATATCTCCAGTGACGTATGTCCCTAATTAAAATAAGGAAAATAAAATAAGGATTACGTTTGCGTTATCACGCAACTGTGAGTTGCAACATATGGTAATTAGAAAATAAGCATGATAAACGACGCGTCGCGAGTAGAACATGCGTTAACCCTGTTCCGTCTTAGCGGCTTTTCAGTTTCCTCGTTTCAGTTTCTTCTCAGTTTTCCAATTTACATTTCAATGCGGTGAAACAAAATGCAACTGCATTTTGCACACACGACACCGAGAAAGAAGTCATAGGAAAACAAAGCCATTGCATAACTACTCTTTATTTTTATGTTATCTTCATCGAAGCCTTGAGGTACCCGTAATTGCGCGACACCCATAATTAAACGAGGAAATAAACTTTTTCCGATCGTTTTGCAACTGTGTTTATATTTTACTTTCGAATTCCGTGACTGCGTATCGATTCGTACGATTTCATCGTCACGTTCAAAATATTTGCGCGCTTTCCGAATATCCGGCCTCCATATTCGGAAACTGCCGGATCGATCTCTGATTTTAATATTAGAGAAAAGTGTTATCGCGTTGAAATATTCTTTGCTTGTATAAATATTCATCTCTACATCAAACAGGAAGGTTACTGCGTTCAAATATTTGCATGAATTTATACGTGCTGGCTATTTGTGCATTAATATCCCGTATTCAAATATTCAGCCACGAGTGCGACCGAGAACGCGCGTTCGTGTCGAATTTATACGTCCGGAATTTTCATGCACTCGCGAAAAACTCTCGCCAACTTCGATACGCTGATACACGTATCGCTGTGTTAATTAAAACTACTAATTCAGCGGTATCGCTAAAATTGCCGTGGAAATGTTTTAATCGGTTTATATTTTTATAAATGCGTGCAGAAATGTTTGACGAGCTTTGTTAATTTTGGTGATTTGGGGAACGTGATCGTGAAGAAAAATAGCATTTTCACGTTTTAAATTGGAGAATGTAAAGTGGAAAATTTTGGGGTGAATTTTTAATTTGATAATTTTTAAATGAGATGGGTTTGTAGAGGACTGTATCATTCGATCGCTATATTTTTATATTTCTATATCTGCAAATACTTATATTTGTATGTACTTATATCTCTGAATAGCTACGTGTCCAAATACCTATATGACTACATACTTATATTCTTAAATATGTATATGTATTCCTAAATGTCTATATTGCTGCATTCATAGATCCCTATACTCGTATGACTCTATGTCTCCACATATGTCGTATGTTCTATAACCTATGTCTCAATGCACTATGTCCTAGTGTCCACATATCTTGAAGACCACATATCGCTACATTCGTAGATCTGTATACTCCTATGACACTACGTACCTATGTCCTATGTCCCAATATCTTATATCTCAATGTCCACATGTCTCAAAGTCCCATATCGTCACATTCGTAGATCTCTATACTCATATGACACTGTGTCCCTATGTCCTATGTCCTATGTCCCAATGTCCACATATCTCAATGTCCACATGTTTCAAAGCAGTACATCGTCACATTCATAGATCTCTATACTCCTCTGACACTATGTCCCTATGTCCTATGTCCACATGTCCTATGTCCTATGTCCCAATGTCCACATGTCTCAAAGTAGCATATCGTCACATTCATAGATCGCTATACTCCTCTGACACTATGTCCCTATGTCCTATGTCCCAATGTCCACATGTCTCAAAGCACCATATCGTCACATTCGTGGATCTTTATACTCCTATGATACTATGTCTATGTGTCCTATGTCTTATGTTCCAATGTCCTATGTTCCAATGTCCTATGTTCCAATGTCCTATGTTCCAATGTCCTATGTTCCAATGTCTTATGTCTCAATGTCCTATATTCCAATGTCCTATGTTCCAATGTCCTATGTTCCAATGTCCTATGTTCCAATGTCCTATGTTCCAATGTCCTATGTCTCAATGTCCTATGTCTCAATGTCCACATGTCTCAAAGTCCCATATCGCCACACTCATAGATCTCTATACTCCTCTAACTCTATATCCCTATATCCTATGCCCCAATATCCTACATCCCAATGTCCACATATCTCAAACTCCCTACATCACCATACCCCAAAAGTCCTATATATTTAATATAAACTAGACCTACTATAAACTAAACCTAACATAAACTAGAAAGAAGATTACGAAAGTCAGCGAGAGAAATCCATTCCATCGACAGGCATATTTCTTCAGTAGAGCGTCAGGTACCACAAGATTTCCAAGATTGCGCCGTTCCGTATGGTGACTCTGACCGTTAAAAATGACGATTTCACGTGTTCCCCTCGGTCTCAGGATCTGAACGATCATCGAGGTACGACTTCCTGCGGGCAACCCCTCGGAACAGGTCGTGCGCACACGTGTTACGCAAGCCGCGTCGCAGCGGCGTTCACCTGCGCGGTCGTTCAATTTTTCATTTAATTGATTGTTGCGTAATGGGCCGTATGAACCGCATGAAAACGTCCGAGACAATAAAGAAACACGCCAGACGTCGCGGCATTTCCAACGCGTACGATATCGTGACACGACGGAGGACGTTGTTATACGTGCATACGTATGCGCGCATGGGAGTCGAACGCTTAAAGGATTTATGGCACGCAAACCGCGTCATGCTCCTCCTGCGAACCAGCCTTAATACCGTAGCCACTTTTTTGCCTACCTGTTTGCCGATTGATTCTAATGAAGTTTTTTCTAGTTTATAATCGACGCTGGTGACTGCGATGTTGCCTAGGCAGTGGATAGATATTGCAGTATTTTATTATTTTACTGTGTTGTTATTTTGATATTGAATTTAGTATTTGCTTTCATCTTGTAGTACCTGAAGTATGTAATTGGTATGTAGGTGTCTTATGTTGTATCTGAATGGAACCTACATTGTGTCTGATGAGTGTTTAAATATGATAAATATTAAACATAAATAATATCTAAGGAGCATTCGATTAGTACATAAATAGTATGTAGTAGCTAAACAGTACCTAAGAAGTCCTCAATTAATATCTAAATAGTATGTAGTAGCTGAACAGTATTTAAAAAGTTTTCAATCAATATCTAAATGGTACATAAATTATATCTGAAGTAATATCTAAGCAAATAGTATCTAAGTAGTGTCTAGATGGTACGTAAATAGCATGTAAGTAGTACTGAATGTTACCTAAACCATACCTAAATAGTACCTAAATATTACCTAAACAGTACCTAAACAGTTCCTAAACAGTTCCTAAACAGTACCCAAACAGTAACTAATCAGTACCTAAATAGTACGTAAACAGTACCTAAATAGCACTTACGCAGTACCTAAATAACATCTACACAGTACCTAAATAGCACCCAAATAGTACCTAAATAGTATCTAAATAGTATCTAAATAGTACCTAAAGAGTACCTAAATAACACTTGTACAGTACCTAGAAAACACTTACACAGTACCTAAATAGTACCCAAATAGTACCTAAATAGTATCGAAACAATACCTCAACAGTTCCTCAGTAGTACCTAAGCAGTACCTAAATAGTACCTAAGTAGTACCCAAATAGTAACTAAACAGTACCTAAATAGTATCTAAAACGGTACTAAACCAGTATCTGAATAGTACCCACATGCTACCTAACACCAAGGTCACGCCCAGAGAACATCTAAAACACCTTACATACTTGAGCAGAAAATCCACAGCACCTGCAGAATACATAACATACTTGACACACACGTGGTAAACAGACACCTGAAACCGCTAAAATGTCCGACACAATGTTATCAGCAAATCTACAGTAAATCGACTTGATGCCATTTCAAGGGTTAAACTTGAAACTTCCATCGACTTTATATCAACGTGGTCCTTAAATGGTTCCACTCCTCGGAACAACGCAACAACGCCAACGATGCACAAACAGACTAACCATGTAAATAATGGCTCGTAATCGTTACGTTGCACTTTATATGGAAGAACGTGCCGGTTTCTATCGTGTTGCACATGTGGATTAGAAGCTCGCGTTTCGATGAAAAAGCGACCCAACGACGTCCGTGAAAGTCAACGCTCTAACTACATGCACACGCGTCAGATTTTTCCCCGTGATTTCGGAACTCGTTATTATAATTAAATAACGACACGCGAGTTCGAAAGAAAGGTTTCACGAACGTTTAAACCGGGGCTTCGATCTCTTCGCATACCGATACTATCTGACTGGTAAGCAGCCCAATTAAACGGGAAACTTAAGCATAGTTTTCATTCGAA